TCCCAGGTGGCTTCCGACGCCGGCATGTCAGCCCACTGCACCAGAACGTGCCACTCCCCGCGGCGCAGGCTGGAACGCAGCACACGTTCTGGGCGCAAGAGCGGACGCCCGTGGCGCAACGGCGGCAACGCCGGAACTTCTGCTGGGAGATCACCACAGAATGGCTTGAGCACCCCCACGTGGAAGACGTCATGAATCCGGGCGCCCTCGGGTAGGCGCAGCCGATAAGCCACCTTGTTGATCTGTTGAACGACTTGGTACGGACCAGCAAACTTCGGCCCCAACTTGCCCCGGCCCCCAGGAACCAGCGCCTTCGTCGGGGGATGAAGAAGCCGGAGCCACACCCAATCGCCAACAGAGAATGTGAGCTCGCGGTGCTTGGCGTCATAGGCACGACGGGCATGCTCTTGAGCTTGAAGAAGGCGCGCGCGAACTTCTGCCAGGAACTCGTCGCGGTCAGCCAGCATGGCATCAACGGCCGCCGTGTGCGCCTGTCCTTGCGTGTATGGCAGCAAGTCGGGCGGAGGCCGCCCATAGACGACGGTGAATGGCGTCGTGCGGAGCGCCGAATGGAAGGCCGTGTTGTAGCAGAACTCGGCCCATGGAAGCCAATCCAGCCAATCCCGGGGGCGGTCGCCAGTGAGACAACGCAAGTACATGCCGATTGTCTTGTTGACGGCCTCGGACTGGCCATCCGTCTGGGGATGGAAGGCCGTGCTGAGGCGCAGCTGGACACCCGCCTGGCGAAAGAGATCACGCCAGACGAGACCGGTGAAGACGGGGTCGCGGTCGCTGACGATGGAGTCGGGAAAGCCATGCAGCCGAACGATGTCGTGGAAGAAGGCGCGGGCCACCGAAGCCACCATGTACGGGTGCCCTAGGGCGATGAAGTGGGCGTACTTCGAAAACCTGTCCACGACGGTGAGGATCACGCTTTTACCGTGGACTTTGGGCAGCGCCTCGATGAAGTCGATGGAGATGTTCGCCCACACCCGGGACGGCACCGGTAGAGGCTGCAGAAGGCCGGCCGGGTGGAGAGCCTCGGTCTTGTTGCGCTGGCACGTCGCGCAAGCCCGCACGAAATCGCGAACGACGCGCCGGTCGTGCTCCACATAGAACTCGGCGCGAAGGCGCTGAAGTGTGTTCTGGATGCCTTCATGCGCCCCGGTGTGCGCGAGCTGAAGCACGTCGTCGAGCACCTAGGACGTAGCGGGGACGAACACACGACCGTGATGGAGGAGGCCCTCGTGCACCCGCCAGTCCTCACCATGGGCGCCTGCCATGACGGCGTCGCGACGGCCGCAAAGTTCAGCGGAGGCCTCCAGCTCGCTGCGCAGATCAGCGAAGAGCTGGAACACAGGGGTGGATAGCGCTGCGATAGAGGCCGCTGGGCCTGGGAGCGCCGCGAGCAGTGGTGTCTCGCCGTCCCGCCGGGACAGTGCGTCGGCGACGACGTTGAGGCGGCTTTGGCGAAATTCCACCCTGAAATCATAGCCGAACAGCTTGCTCACCCACTGGTTTTGCGGGATCGTCGAGAGTCGTTGATCAAGGAGGAACTTCAGGGCGTAGTGGTCGGTGCGGACGATGAACGCGCCCCCCCACAGGTAGGGCCGCCAATGGCGGACCACCTGCACCAACCCGATGAGCTCCCGTTCATAGGCTGCAGACTTTAGGTGACGCGCGGCGAACGGCCTGCTGAAGAAGGCGATCGGGCCGGCATCCTGGTGCAGGACCGCGCCGAACCCTGAGCCAGAGGCGTCGCAGTCGACGATGAAGTCGCGGCTGAAATCCGGCAGGTGCAGCACGGGCGCTGTAGATAGTGCCGTCTTCAACGCAGCAAAGGCCGTGGACGCCGCCATCCCATCGGAAGTCGTTTCTGCTTTAGCAGCTGCTGCGTCGTGGGGCGGCGATGGTCCCATAGTCGCGGATGAAGCGCCGGTAATACCCATCGAGACCCAAGAAGCCGCGAGGGCCCTGGCGCCTTTGGTCATGCCACGCTGGACCGCGCTCACCTTGGCGAAGGTCCATGGCGACGCCCCCCGGAGATGACGTGACCGAGGTAATGCACCGATCGCTTGTTGGTAAAGCACACTTGGAGCGCTTGATGTGGAGGCGGTGCTTTCGCGGAGGACGCCGAGAACGGCGCTTGAAGCCTGCTTGCAAAGTGTCTTTATCCGGTAGTACTGCATACCACAAGATACCATCAAAAAAAAACAAGGACGCACCGCGCGCAGGAACGGCTTGAGGACGAAGTTCATGGCGCGCCGGCGTGGACGGCGCATTTGAGAGCCCGAAGGGCATGACGAGGAACTCGAAATGGCCCTGATGTGTCCGGAACGCCGTCTTTGCTACGTCATCAGGGTGCACGCGAACCTGATGGTAGCCGGACCGGAGATCTAGCTTGGTGAAGAATTTGGCGCCATGCAATTCATCGAGGAGCTCCTCCACCACAGGGATGGGGAACTTATCCTTCACCGTCGCTGCGTTCGGTGCCCTGTAGTCCACGCAGAACCTCCAGGAGGCGTCTGCCTTTTTGACAAGGAGTACAGGCGCTGAAAATGGAGAGGTGCTGGGGCGGATGACTCCCTGCTGCAGCATTTCTTCACATTGCCATTCCAGCTCATCTTTTTGTAGCTGGGGGTAGCGGTAGGGCCGAACGGCGACAGGCTCTGTGGCCGGTTTGAGGTGGATCCGGTGATCACAGGGTCTCGCCGGCGGCAAGCCCGTAGGTGCTGCGAAGACGTCGTCGTAAGCGTCAAGGAGGCGTTCCAGCAAGGTCCCCTCGGTGCCCTTGGCGGAGTAGAGACGACCAGCATGGAGGCGTCCTGTGAACTGGCCGGGCGTGCTCGAGGCCCCGATGCCCCGCCAAAGGACCCGGCGTCCCTGACGGTTGAAGGCCATGCAGAGGGTGTTGAAGTCCCACAGTACAGGACCGAGAGTCCGCAGCCAGGATATGCCAAGCACCATGTCGTAGCACTCCAGCGGAATCGAGTAGCAGTCGACCTTGAACGTCTCCGCCCCGATGCGCACGCCCACGGCCGAGGCGAGGCCGCGGCAGGTCACGCGATCGCCGTTCGCGACGACCACGTGGGTGCCCGCACTGTCGGTGAAGGGGAGGCCGACGCGCCTCGCTGCCCCGGTGCTGATGAAGTTGTGCGTGGACCCGGAGTCGAGCAGGGCCGTGAGCTCGTGGCAGCCCAGATGAACGCGGAGCTGCATCGTCTCCTCCGTGCGGATGCCGGTGATCGCGGAGAGGGAGATCATGGGGGCCTCAGGGTCGAACGGCGGGTTCTCAGTGATATCCGCCGCTGGTGTTGGGTCGTCCTCGGCGGGCTCTTCGACCGTGTAATTCGCCACCTCCAGGAAGAAGAGGCGCGCACACTTGTGCCCCCGGACGTACGGCTCGTCGCAGTTATAGCACAGCCCCTGCTTGCGGCGAAGGGCCATGTCCTCCGGTGACAGGCGCTTGAACGGGCGCGCTGCTGGAGCGTTCGACCCACTGGACGTCGCAGCGCCTGTTGGCGGGGCTAGGGCGGCAGCGGTGCGATGCGGCGGCGGCGGTGGTGGCGCCTCGTGCGTGACGCCAGTAGGGCCAGCAAGCGCAGGCTGTGTTGTGCCGCTTCGACGCCGCGCGCCGATGATGCATGGCTCGCTGCAGGTCTTGAGGCTCCTGGAGTTCCACCTCGACACGGATCTGTTCCGGCAGTCCCCCGGTGAAAAGCTGCGCCTTCTGGAGCGCCGTCAGGGTGCCCGCGTGCGCTGCCCGGGCCTGGAAGGCTTCCATGTAAGCGTCTACCGTGGAGGTAAACGGCAGCCGAGCGAGGTCCGCTAGGTGGTTGGAGCTGAGCGGCGGACCGGGCGCCTGCTGGCACAACCGCTTGAAATCATCCCACGACGGCGGCCCATGTCCCCTCAAGATCGAGGTACCATCGGCGCCACTGCGTGCCTTGCAAGTGGTAGGACGCGAACCACACCCGATCCGTGGCACGAGTCTGGTACCCATGGAAGAATTGTTCGCAGGTGTTCAGCCATCCGAGCGGGTCCTCCTTGCCCTCATAAGTGGGGAGGGATAGCTTGGGAAAGCGCGGACCGTGGCCACCGGTCCGGTTGTTCTTGGACGTCAGGAGCATGCGGCGGAGGCAAAGTGCGTGGGGTGGGTTTTGGCGCCCTCGGCCCGTTCATGATGGACGAGAGGGATGGGACCGCGATGATGGTGAGGGTGGGAAGTCGATCTGTGTGATGGGGACAGCGGTGGATGGGAGTGGTGGTGATGGCGATTGGGGCTGCGGCGCCAAGCTAATGGGTAGGGGTTGTGGAATGGCGGCGTGATCCGAAGGCGAGATCACCACTCCGTTCTTTGGCAGGGGGAATGCCGCCATACCCCGGCATGCCGTACAGCGGTAAGGGCGCCGAAGGAGCGGGGCCACGATCCTCCAGGGCCGTCACGCGCACGGCCAGGGCGCCGAGCTGGTGTTGCATCCCGTAGATGGCAGCCGTGAGTTGGTTGAAGGCCTCCTGCGGTGTTTGGGGAGAGGCCGGTGGCTGGGAGTATGCCATCGGGAGGGTGGGGATGATCGGCTGGAGGCTGGTGGTGACGGCGATCCGCTGGGAGCTGGTGGTGACGGCGATCAGCTGGGGGCTGGTGGTGATGGCGAGCGGCTGGGTGGTGAGCGGTGGGGCGGAGGTGAACGCGTTGGCGGCGGCATCAGTGGTGGTGGGGGAAGAAGATGAAGCCATGGTCTCTGATACCAGGTTGTTACGGCGCGCCTTGCTGCGGAGAAAGTATGGAGGGGAGAAGGCGAGCCGTGGCTTGGTCGGACGGCGGCGTGACGGCGCCGTGCTGCAGCCGAGGGTTTGGAGGCGAGGTTGACACAGATATGACGATGAACAGTAACGCCCGAGGGCCCAGGGGAGAATGAATCTCAATCCCAGGCTACCCTTTCCTTAATTCTCTGTCTATGCCATATAGGCTTTCTTGTTACAAAGATAGAAACAGATCCCTATTTTCTCTCCCGATCTAACAACTCTCGCTGGAGGGGAACACCGGCCTGGGGCGCGGTGACCGCGCCCAGCGCGCCTCGCGCGTTTCCCCCTCCTTCTCTCAGCCACTGTTCCTCCTCTTTCTCTGGTAGGTCCAGCCCACCATAACATCTACCGAATCAAAATGCTGCCAAAAAGCATGGCATTACCTCTGTCCTTCAAGCCACATCTCAGTAACCAGAGTTTCCCCTGGGTAGACGTGGTGCAGGAACCGGCAGGAGATACCTTTCACGGCTGTTGGTTCCATGTTGCAGAATGACCTCATGATAGCTCGAACAGCAAATCCAAGCGTTGAAAGTCCAGGCAATATTGGGCCTGTAAACCTTCAAGTTTCAAGTTCAGGTTAATATGTTTGAGAATGCAATTGTGCATGAAAGATGGATCAGATAGATGTACAAATACATTTGACTTTAGACCAGAGCAGGAAATGCTAGCGAGTTGAAGAGCAGAGACAGTCAAATCTAGAGATCATCCAGAAATGGAGCAAAAACTGTAACATATCTTGTATAGTCCTACTGACTACCAACTTAACAACATGAAATTGGCATTACTTCAGCATCAGAAAAATGCATTAATTTATTGTGTGCTTCGGCCAAAGGAGGATCTGAGGATTCACAGCACATGAACAGCAGCTGCAGTTACTTTAGCAATAGCCAACGCCGGGATTAGTTGTTTAGCTGGCGCTGGCCCATTAAGTCAGATAAGCATATATATAAGGAAGTCAAGAAAACTAGGGAGATTACAGTGCAAACTATACCCTTCATCCAAGGCAATGGATAGAGATTTATAAACAAGTTGATTTTATGCAAAATAGTAAAACTCTAGTAATCTCTCTCTAAAAAAGCAAAAAACTCTAGTAATAATGCTTTTATTTTACGTTAAAAAAATAATGCTTTTATTTCCAAACTGGAACTGAAGATGAGTTGTAACTAGTAGCTAAAGCAACATACCCTGCAGTCTGTGCAAAGATGGGATCTGAATGCAAAGGATGAAAATAGCCAGATAACCCGCAGAGTAGTGCCTGAACCAACAGAGAGAAACCTCAGAGATTTAAAATAGGACAACTTTGTAACACTTTGATTAATATTTCCTAATCTGAAGTTGTGTGTCAAATTTGACCAGAGAAAAACAGCGCTGCTAAATGTAATAACAGCCTTGAAAGATATTGTGTTAAGGGAAAAAAAAGAATTGCAGTATTTGAGATGCCTTCCACATAGGACAGATAAATTCAACAAAACAAATCAAACTACAAAGAAGAGCTGTGTTGCAACAAGTGTACAAATAATGGAAATATAAAGATAAGAAGCTCTCCTGCATGTTCGCTAGAAATAAGCAATTGCAAATACAACTTCAGAAAGAAATTTACATATGGAATGAAGTATCGTACCTGGGATTTCTGAGTGCGATCTTCATACACAGCAAAAGGTGTGGAATCTGGAAATGTAACATCGGAAACCTCATTAGAAGGATAAGTGGCATATGAGAACGGTTGTGAAGAGTTGGAGAAGCCACCAGCACCACGCAAGTAGACAGTACTCCTGTGTCAGGTGTCGCATCAATGGGTTATTCACTCATTCCAGTCAAGCTGTATAGCTCAATTGTTCGAAAAAAGTACCGACCTATTCATACACAAAACTTCACCAGAACCTTCAAGACAGGTTAGTGTTTCAACTTCAAGAATAGCGGCCTTCCCTGCAAAAGAGGGACATGGCATTTTAGATGAAGTATAACTTCCCTGCACAAGAGCAACATTAACCATGTACTTGTTCCAATCAACACATGCACTTATATTGTTCACTTCTGGACAAGGTATTTGAGCATAAGAAGTCAGGCGTAATTGTGAATTCAACATTAAAAGGGAAATTCTCTTGATTTCTTAATCGAGTTACAGATACAAGGAATTATGGTCCCAGTAAAATATTTACTTCATATTTTTGCATTTTAGAACATTACTATGGATAACACTGAAAGAGCCAAAATTTCAAACTAGTAAGCTATAATAGGCCTATAACAGAATAAATCTTCAAAAGACTGGAAGAAGAAATCTTTTCATGGTCTGACACCACAGAGATCCTGCTCACATATCAAAACAATGTATCGCGTCACTAGTTTAGCTGAGAGGCTCAGATTACATGGGTGAATTAGTGCTATTAATAACTATACTAGAATCTTCAACCTTGGCCACACATTTTACCATGGAGATACCGAGATAGAAAGAACAAAGAAGAAACAAAACAATCAAAATTGAGTGATCAAATATCACGGCGAGAATACCTCGGTCATGCAAACCAGCTATTTTAATTTTGTTAGCAACCTGGGGAAAAGAAAAAGGTCAATCATATTTTGGGGTACAAAATAGTAAATATTGAAAAATATGTTAAATAGTAAAGGAAATATGATAGATTTACTTAATGCAGGCATATGCCTTCTGTCTGTCAATTTATAATAAAGAGGATGTAAGGCCCTATTTTTTTAAAAGAAATTTACCATCTGCTATCTAGATTACACATCACATGTTAACCCATAGATCATGAAGAGTTACTCTTTTAAGACTAACAATTTTGGTGTACAACTTACATTAGCTCGTCAAGGAATTGGTCTATATATCTCTATGTATTGCTGACCATGCAGTAAAAGTGCTGGGTCATAGCTGGAGAACAGAAACAAGCCAAATTGTTCAAGTGTAAGTATATTGACAGTACCCTATCAAGGATTGACTGACTAGAGACAAAAAAATGAAGGTCAAATATTGTGTAACTTTAATGAAACCACAGTAACCCAACGATTAAGCTCAGTAAATATGTGAAAAGTATTCTTACTGAAGCCCAGGGACATCCATGTAAAACCCATCGCCAGTTTTTGCATTAAGTACAGAAATAAAAGTAGGTAAAACCTGCACGACATGCAAGGGACAATTTCTTAAATAGCTAGAGATATGGAAATGTCCACATAAATAGACTCCGATTAAATAAATTACAAATATTTAGTTCACAGTAAGAAACAACAGTGCACTAGTGCGATACATAGGTCCATGGTAGCATGAGCATAACAAAAGTAATTTATACCTGTTAGGCTGTTACTTCAGACTTATGACTAAACAACTGTTGATTTTGCGGGATGGAGATCTCTCTTAAATGAAGATTCTTATGCATTACTGATATTGAAGGTAAAGTAACTAGATCAAAGATTGGGAGGCTTAATCTGTGATTGGAGAAAAGGAAGTGCTTTTTTATGGTGTGTACCATATAAAATTCCAGGAGGGGTAGTAACCTCCAAGTTGACCTGACCCAGCTACAGTATTCACGTTCCATGTTGAGTTAATTTTGACAAACATCAAGCGACTATGATCCAAAATCAGTTTGCACCAGGTGCTGGATACAACACAGGAATTACTCCTACCGAATTAGGATTTCAACACTCTTCTCAACACTCCGATGAATGCAATGCAATGGTTAAAAGGAAAAAAAATATCAAGCGGACACACCCCCACCAACTCATCTTGAGCACCTTAATGGAAGATTGCCCATCCCTGTGGTACACCAGCTGAAGCTCCTTCTCATCCGCTGCATCTGCATTGCAAGCTCCCACCCCCAGCGCGTACAGCGCCACATCCCTGCACCAAGTGAAAAATGCATCAGCCATTCCGAGCAGCCGTTGTGACGTTCCATCGAGCAGATCGTGGGCGGTGGCGACCTCTCATCGTACGCGGACGCGACCTGTAGAACAGAGCAGCTCTCGTCAAGCCAGAAGAGTCCGGTGATCGAGGACGGAGAGCTAGCGAAAGCCGTGTGACCTCGGGGAACTTATGAGAGAGAACCATGGCAGGGTCAATGGCCGTCGCGGAGGCGGAGCGCGCCATTGTGCAGGACAATGCCAGGAGGCGAAGCCAAGGTGGAGCGGGTGGCGATCATCGGCGCCGCGCGAGCCATTGTTAAGTAGTCGTAGCTGCTACCCGCGACGCTGAATCGAGCTACCCTAGTTAATTCCGCCGGCGAGACGCAATCAGATAGCAGCTTTGCAGACAAGACAGAATAGAATCTCATCATAGTCGTCAGCGGCAGATACCCGGGTCCCGATGCACCCGCTTCCTGCAACACCCGGTCCAGCAAGAGGCGCAAGGTTAGCAGACAACGATCCGGTGCTCGATCGGAAGGCATGGTCGAGGTGAGACCATAGTCCGACTCCGACTCCTTTCTTTAACCGATGATATGTCGGACCTCTTCTTACTATTCTTTTTTGACCGACACGGTTGGGGCCGACTAGGAACGACTAACCGGGGACGTCCGCTCGGTGTGGGTCTGGGGAGCAAGCGAAGCAAATAAGATAAGGCGCTTAAGTCAACCGCAACACTGAGTACCGTATCCTGCCATGCCCTGCGCACCTACAGGATGGTGCCATCGGGGTATGTCAGGCGAACACGGTAGAGCCTGCCAGACGAGTCAAAGCATAAACAGTATTATAGGCACCGTCGTTTGCCGTACCATGCAAACATGGTAGAGCCTACCAGACACGTCTGAACATGAACATCATTATGGGCGTCGACGGGCATCCCATACCCGAAGTTGTGGACAACAAGACTAGACAGCACACGTATACACTCTCTCTTTTTCTCTGACTTGTAAGGCCATCCCTTTCAACTATAAAAGGAGATGAGCTATCTCCTGAATGGCCCCCCGAAGATTGGACGACTCGAGACTCGACAACTCAATAGCTCTAGAGCCCAACAGCTACATACAGTCTACACAGTCTACACAGTCTATACGCTCCGAGACTTAGCGCACGTTTGAGCATCCGTCACTCTCGGCCACTCGGTTCAGAGTCCGACCGGGTCTCTAACACCCCCTTCTCATTCTTCACTCGTTTGTAACCCCACAGCAAACTTTGAACACCTAGGCTCAGGAATAAAGTCATCGATCGACTGAAACTGTATGTAGGACACGTTGCCTGAACTAGTATAAATCACATGTCATCGCGTGCTAGGCCACATCCGATCGTAACGCATGACAAAACTATAAATATTTACTTATTGGTCACATTTCGCACCGACAGTTGGCGCCGTTCGTGGGGAGGACGCCGTGCGTTCATGCTTTTGGTCATCGGATGGCCCACGTCTTCGGCATGGAGGGCTCGAGCGATATGATTCCCTTCAGCTCACTGGAGTTTCCCATGCTCCCACATGCTATGGGATGTGGGCTCCTCCCGTCTTCGTGCCACTCCAGACCTTTCTCTTCGGGAGTCTGGACTTTGTCGCCGACCAGCTCGGCGTACTCCGCCTCTGCGAGGAGGCGCTTGTCCCGGCGCCCACTAGAGGAGGCGCCCTCCACCGACCCTGGGCCACTCGATGACCTCAACGTCAAGACACCCGCGCTTCACCTCGAGCCCATGGTGAGTGATGTATATTTTGTTTTTTACTCGCTATTTAACATCTTCCGCCAATTCTCGGAGGGATCCCGTTGTCCCCACCGCGACCGCCGTGCCACCGGTTCCCCTACTGCTTCACGTTCCCTATGGACGCGTGCACGCGAGGACTCCGAAGGATGCTGACGTCGCCTCCTCTCATGTCTGAGTTCGTGGGGATGGCGGACTACGCTCCCTCCTCCTTCTATGACCTCATCAATGATGAGGTCAAAAGCGATGGCTCCAGCATCGGCGACGCCATGGCACCTGGCCACCCTCTACCTTAGGAGTGCGTTGTGGCGGACGCCCGGCGCATCACGCTGCGCCACATGCGCGTAACTCGGCGAGCGGCGCTCAGGATCATGCCCGTCAGGTCCAGCATAACATACTAGACGGAGGGGATGACCCCCCTCAATTTGCTCGGGCTGGCGAACATCGCTATTATGGTGATGCTTCTATGCGGTCTCCCCGAGCCTGCCGACCCCTAGGAACAGACAATCCACCGGAACCTTCGGGCGCTGGTGGAGACCGCCGCCGTTCAGCAGGCGGAGAGCTCCGCGTCGCGACACCGACTCGTGGCCTCTTGCCCAATCGGGGGACTAGGGTTGCACTAGTCGAATCGCTCCGTCCACTCACCACAGCAGTTGCCGGGCATGGAGCAAGAAGCTGTGGCTGCACCACAACCCGACTCGGCGCTCGCTCCACACCGATCGGCTCGGGCCGAACCGTGACGCTCGCCGCGTCATCAACAATCGACGCCATGCCCGGCACGATGATAACGCCCATCGAGTGGCATCGAGAGCAGGCGGCGTGGGCCCTAGCCTAACCATCGAGGAGTGCGAGGACACGCACCCCAGGCATGGTGGCCGACCAAACGACTAGAGCCCTAGCCCGGACGACCTGGGGCCAAGGGCCTTTGGTCGTTGCAACCAGAAAGCGTCGTTCCCACAACGCTTTCGACCGCCCACCAACATCGCCAGGTACACCGAGGAGACGAACCCCAGTATATGGCTCGAAGACTTCCGGCTTGCCTACCGAGTCGGAGGAGTGGATGATGACTACTTCATCATCCAGTACCTCTCCATCTGTGTGGCGGAGCATGTTCGAGCTTGACTTGAATTCCTTCCGTCCAACAGCATCCACGACTGGGCGGATCTCAAGAGGTTCTTCGTCAAAAAATTATAGGGGATGCATGTCCATCCTAGAAATTCCTAGGACCTCAAGAGCTACCAGCAGGAGCCCAACAAATCCCTACGGGATTACATTCATAGGTTCTCAAAGTAGTGCAACTCTTTCCTGATGCCGTCGACGTGGACGTCATCAGCGTGTTCTCTATAGGACAACCTACAAGTCCTTGATCCATAAGCTCGGTTGTGTGAAGACCCATACCACCTGTGACCTGCTCGACATCACCACGATCCACGCCTCCAGCGAGGAGGCGGTCGGGGCGGTCTTCATCGGCGATCGGGACAGGGCAAGGCCAAGCGCGAGGACCAAGGCGAGTGCCTCTCCACACAAAAGGGCAAGAAGAACAAGAAGGATCGGTGCCAACCGGCCAATCTAGCTTTGGTCGCTGCGGCCGACCGAGCAGGCAAGCAGCTCCAGCATGGCCAGCCCGACCACTTCGACAAGTCATGGAGAGTCCATGCACCAACAACGCCTATCCTGTCAAATACCTCTACAAGGACTGTGAGCTCCTCAAGGGCTTCCTATGGCAAGCTGCCAAGTCAAAGGAAGGAAAAGGCAAGGAGGACGCAGCCAAGAAAGGAGGCGTGGTGGGCAAGGATGAAGACGGCTTCACCGACCTCAAGGAATGCCTCATGATCTTTTGGGGACCCGATGCTATCCACTCTAAGCGCCAGCACAAGGTACGCTACAGAGAGGCATGCGCCGCCGAGTTGGCCATCCCCTCTTTCCTTAGCTAGTCGAACTCCCCGATCACTTTTGATCAGAGAGACCATCCTTCCCACATCGCTCGATCGGGTCACCACCCGCTCGTCGTCGACCCCATCATCCGCAAGAAGCACCTCACCAAGGTGCTGATGGACGAAGGCAGCGGCCTCAACATTCTCTACGTCAACACCCTGGTCAGAGCTCCGCCCAGTGAGCTCTCCCTTCCACGACGTGATCCTAGGGATGCAATCATATCTACTTGGGTAGATTGACCTACCTATCACGTTTGGTGACCGCGCCAACTTTCGCTCGGAGGTCCTAACCTTTGAGGTAGTGGACTTTCCGGGGTCCTACCATGCCATCTTGGGGTGGCCATGCTACGCTAAGTTTATGGTGATCCCCAACTACACCTACCTCAAGCTGAAGATGTCGAGGCCGAACAGGCGTTATCACCATAGGTAGCACCTTCTCGCACGTCTACATGTGCGACCGCGAGCATTATGAGCTTGCCACTGCCATCACAACTCCGCTGAGCTCCCGAAGCTCGGGAATTCAGCGACTCCAGCAGTCCCCGACTACAACGGGCCGACCTCCTCGAGTGCCTTCCATCTGACTGAGGAAACCAAGGGGGTGGAGATCGACCCCACCGACCTGACCAAGACAGTTTGGGTCAGGACTAAGCTCCTGGCCAAATACAAAAGCGAGCTTCACCGACTTCTTATGCGTAAACCGCGATGTCTTCGCGTGGGAGCCTTCTGACATGCTGGGCATACAGAGGGAGGTCGCCGAGCACAAACTATGCATCGTTCCGGGCTCAAAGTCCACCAAGCAACGCCTGCATCGATTTGACAATGAGAGGTGCAGGGCCATAGGCGAGGAGATCGCCAAACTTTTAGTAGCCGGATTCGTCAAAGAGGTATACCACTCCGACTGGCTAGCTAATCCTGTTCTTGTGAAAAAAAAGAATGGGAAGTGGAGAATGTGTGTTGACTATACTAGCCTCAATAAGGCGTGCCCAAAGGATCACTTCCCTTTACCACGTATAGATCAGATAGTCGACTCCACCTCAGGGTGCGAAATCTTCTCCTTCCTGGATGCCTACTCAGGCTACCACCAGATCACAATGAAAGAGTCCAACCAGGTCGCGACTTCATTCATTACCCCGTATGGTTCGTACTATTATGTAACCATGCCTTTTGGTCTAAAGAACACTGGCGCCACCTATCAACGGTGCGTGCAGCGATGCTTTGCTGACCAAATCAACCTACCCGACCAACCTGACTAAGTTGAGCGGCCAAAACCAACAATCGCTGTCTATGTAGATGACATCGTGGTGAAAATGGCTCAAGCTAGCGACCTGATCGCAAACTTGGCCGCAACATTCACGAACCTCCAAAGGTTCAACGTCAAATTGAATCCCAAAAAATGTGTTTTCGGGGTTCCGAAGGGGAAGCTACTTAGATACATCGTGTCCGAGCGCAGCATCGAAGCCAACCCTAGAAAAATCATGGCCATCTCCAACATGGGCCCTATACGCAATGTCAAGGGTGTACAGAGGCTCACCGACTG